CCCACCCACTCTCTGTCCTTGCCATCCTGGTTGACCGCCTCCTGTCCTTGTTGGGGTGGCCCTCAGCACAGCAAGGAAATCTTGGTGTTGACTGGCCTGCAAACTGGGAGCTCTCCAAGGAAGCCCAGAGCTCCTCCCTTTCCCCCCTCTCCAATTGTGCTAAAAGAGACTTATTTGCATAGCTGTCTTGGAAACTAAAAAAACAAAAAACAAAAACATGCAATGAAGAAGCACTTCAGAGGTACTTCTCTTATTCCTAATTCTTTCTAGAACAGTTTCCCTCTTCTCTTAACTACATCTGTTTTTCTGACCTGCACAAAAGCACCCCTCCCATCCCCTCTCAGTTGGCTTATCTTGACTCCTTCCACATTCACACACACCGAGCCCCAATAATTTGCCATTTCCTGCTTATGTATCTTCCGGGAGTACAGTGAATGTGAACCAAAAAGATAGATGTTCTTCAAATGATAGGCACTAATAATAACCTTTGAAGCTGTTGACTTGCTTCCTCTTCAAAAGCCTGCTTTTAGGCTGCAGTTCATAATTGAATTTAACTGTAAAATGCTATTTTTAATAATGTCATTGTGTTTCTCTTGGCAGTATTGTTCTCTTGGGTTGATGGAGGGGACCTATCGCATCTCTATAAGTCATGATAAAACTCACCACCATCCATCCATACATCCATATTGATTTGGACATGCTGTTACTCATGTTCTCTCTCTCTCCCCTGCCCCCCAGCCACTCCCGCCAATATTCCAGTAGTAGGGCTATTCCTTCTTTTGGGGTTTGACTTCCCAAGATATTCCAGATTAAGAGCACAAAGTCAGTGTTACTGGTTGAGTGAACACGAGTCCAACTCCGGCAAAGAAATCCTTTGCATTTCTCCTGTTGGGTACTTCCTAGACCAAGGTTCAGCCTTTCAGAGGTTCACTGATTCCATCCCATCGACTTTCATTCATAGCATCCTAAGAAATTTAATTGAAAACAAACTGTGAACATGACTGATATTGTGTATATGCAACTTCCAGCTAATTTTAACTTTGTGGAATTTCTTTCCCCTTAACAAGTACCCTTTTAATAGCCCCACTTCCCGGATGGAACCTTGTTTGATGAGCAGTACTCCCAGACTGCATCCTACCCCAGTCACCCCCCGCTGGCCAGAGGTGCCCACAGCCAACACGTGCTACACAAGCCCGTCTGTGCATTCCACGAGGTATGGAAACTCTAGCGACATGTACACACCCCTGACCACGCGCAGGAATTCCGAGTATGAGCACATGCAACACTTTCCTGGCTTTGCTTACATCAATGGAGAGGCCTCCACCGGATGGGCTAAGTGACTGCTATCCTAGGAACCCATATTTAATATTGATAAGTATTAATAATAATAATAAACCCATCCACCCCTCCCCAGAAGACTTGATACATCAGAACTCTTGGACTAGTCCTAGGCGTAGGAGTCCATTTTCCCAATGAACGTGAGGCTGGGAATCAACTTTAGTTCAGAAGCAAGACTCCCTAGAAGTCAGTGAGACTGGGTTCCCGTAGCCAAGCCAGACCTGACTGTTTCTCTAGAGTGCTATCTTGGGCAGGCCAATCTGTGCCTTTTCCCTCTGTCCCCTGACTTGGCTTCGCATGGGCAAGCGCTCCCTGTATGTGACTGCCTTTCCTGCTGACAAAAGCTCTTTAGTCTTGAAGGGTGGACACTGGAGACAGAATCTGGTCTGTGTTCTTGGAGGGGCACGTAATTTACCAAGAACATTCGCCTTGCCATCTGTCTGTCACCTCGCTGTGCAATGAACAGCCCTCAGATGCGTTCTACGCATCCCTTCTTCCTGGTGGTGTCGGTGCTGCTTCCTGGAGCACCAGGTCTACCTGGAAGTGTCTAGAAACTCTCTAGATTCCCCTGTTACACTCACGTCTGTCACAGTACCCGCATTGTCTTGGAATGTGAGCACGGTCTAGAGGGAAGGAAAAGACCTGTTCTGTATGCCTTAAGTTGGTTGAGGTTTGTAGGGGACTGGTTCTTCTACACACAAGTATTTGTCCTAAGTTTGCACAATGGCTAGTGTCAGCAAAAGGCAGGGGTGGGGCTTTCTAAGTTCTGTGAGCATGTGGATTGATAGCATTGAGTGTCACACTCTGCTGTTTGAACTCTGTGAAACTGGATGGACCAAACATTAACTTACCAGACACCAAGTGTGAAAATGACTTCCATGATTCCTTCTTAAGACTATAATAATTTCCGACACTTTGAGAGAGAAAAAAAAAAGTCAAAGCTGTGCCTTTGAGCCTATACTATACTGTGTATGTGTGGAAATAAAAATGTATTGTACTTTTGGAAAAGTTTTTTCGTAGGCATTTTTCTGTCAGATTTGTAGCAATTTGTGAGGTTTGTTAGAGATTAACATAGTTTTTATTTCTGTATTATAAAAAGCACCAAGCAATTATGGTGGACCTATTACCCTATGGGTAAGAAATAAATGGAAATATGACATCGGATGTTTTAGCAATTATTCTGTAAATAAAATCTTTGCTCACACCCACTCAGTGTGATAATCATGTCTACAGCTCAAATGCAAATAGTTTTATCTGTACAGTTGTGCAAGATATGAATGGTTTCACACTCAAATAAAAAGTATTGAAATGACCTGTTTTTTTCATTTTGCATTTGATATGACGTGTGTGTGTGTTTGTGTGTGTGTGTGTCTACGTGTGTAATATAAATACCATTCTGAATACTTAGGGTGTAAGTAGGCAAAACAAAACTAAGTGGTCCTTTATGGTTGTGCTTATCCAGTTCCCCATCATCTTGTCATAAAACAATCATTAAAATTCAGATAGGCCCCAAGTGCAGTCCTTAAACAATTTCGTACCTACAGCCTGATTGAGGTTCATAGGGGACCAGTTCTACATACAAGGGCTTGTCTTAAGTTTGCATGATGGCGAAGTCAGCAAAGGGCAGGGCCCTTTCAGCTCTTAAAGGAACATCGTTCTTTAATACGAGCATCATCAAGAGGTCCCCTGGTACTTGGTTCACTGTGCTTTAATGATCACTGGGTGTAAAGATATTTCAAGTGCAATAGCTTTAAATGCTAATAAACTTCTGGAGCAGAACAGTGACATTACTGAACACTTAGTAAGCATCAACAGATTCTTCTTCAGCACTGCATTTTGATTCTAGGGCTGAGCTCTGAGGTATAAAGGTAAAATGATTCAATGAGTTGCCCAAATTTGAAGAGTCTAGGATCTGTGAGAGATTCAGAGTCCAAGATTTCCAGAAATGGCGGTAGTAGTGATACATTAACTAAAAGGCATAAGAATCTGACAACTCAGTTGGCATTTTGAAAGATTTCTTTTTTTAAAGCCAAGCTCTTATTTGCTATTACATATTTATACCGAAAATGATTTTAAGATTAAAATTACACATTTTACATAGCATCCCCTTAGAAAATTTAGCTATGTTGATTCTGCCAAAAGAATGTAGATGTTGGATTTCACTCTCGGAAGGTAAATGAATTTGATCTTTGGGCCACAATCCATTCGTTGGCTTTATATGAGGGAAGTGAGGAAGAGGAAGAATGAAATTTCAGATTTAGTCACTGTATGGAACAAACCTGAGGATAAAAGCACATCTGTTGCTCTCTTACTATCCAAGCTAGTTCTCCATAAAGGAAAGGGTGTAGCAAGTGTGACTTTTGACTCACTAATCACACACACAAACAAGCAATTGTCAAACTCCCTAGTCAGGTAAGCAGCAGCACATAATAAACAACACCCATGTACAAGTTAACAGCTACAGGCTCATTAGATGCACAGATCTTTAGGCTAAGCGGGCCTGAATCTCAGAGAATAAAGGGGTCACGCCAAGAACTTTGCAAGGGAAACGGTCCATGCCTCCTCCTCGCAGCGCAGCCAAGAACTGGGAGTCACCAGTGCCGGAGGCAGAAGGCGGCTTTAGCTGAGGGCAAGTGGTCCAGAGCACAAGGTACCATTTCTTGGGAGGTGAGCGTACTGCCTATGTTCCCCATTGTTCTCAACCTTCAACTTCAGGACTAAGAAGGATCTGATTAGGAAAAGACAACAGCTGCTGTAAGCTCATGACTCAAATGCACCTTGTCTCCCTCTGATGGTTCCTACTCAGTCACCAGAATGGTAACGGGCAAGGTTGGCAGCTGGGAGTGGGGCCAGTCACTTGTCAGAGGAAGAACAGAGGAGTCTTGGCAATAAGGGGACACTCCCCTTTATAGGACTCTTTCTGAAAAGGACTCTGCCAGCTTGAAACTGGCTGAAGTCATGAACAGCAGCCAGGATGGCTCACCCACGTCGCAGGCCTGTGGCGTCTGGGACATCCATCCTGCTGTGTCCTTTGTCAGGCCTCTAATCTATCCCCAGGTCTGGAAAGAAAGGGAATCTGTGGCCTCTCTGAGACAGCAACCCAGTCACAGACCAGTAAAAAATGTGCCATTGAATAAGCCCAACCTAAATGGGAAGAGGGACTGAAAACATGGAAAGAAAACTAAAAGGAAGCCTTGGCTTCACCACCCTGTGACCTTGGAGGGGTCACCTCCCCACTCTGGACCTCAAACGGACATGTAATAGGACTGTGACATCCCAGTCATAGTCTGTGTGCTGATGTACCAGGGCGGACAGATCTGGGTGAGGAGGATGGACAGCGTAAGGAACACAAAGGAGGCACTGGCAGCTGGGCAGTGATTCAGGAAGGCAGCCACGAGAGAAGGCGATGGCTCCGCCAGCTGGTGCTCACAAACGCCGGAGGTCCGTGCCCAGGAGCTCAGCCCAATGTACCTGCACCGTCACCCAGCAACGTTCCACCCCTTCCTCATGTCCGACCCCACCCCCTCTTACACAAGTCTGTGTGGCCGTCATCTGCCATTTCCCCCTTCATCCAGATTGGTCCTTAATGTTTGCTTTAAAGCGGCATCACTTAAAATGTCTCAAGTGAATCTGGAGAAAGAGCAAAAATGAACAGGTGATTTGTCCCAACTCTGCATCTCTTAAAGGTAGAATCACCTACTTTTTAAAAAATTAAATCCCAAAGGGGATAGTATAAATACTCCCTTTATTACAGGAGAAAGGGTGTGGGGAAAGGTCGCTGTATGTCTCTGGAGGCATAGAGTTCAGGCTTATTCAAGAGCCTGGAGTGTGTAAATCATCATCATTGGAAGCTTAAAAGAAAAGGAAAAAATGGATCTACTTAGTGGCTTTAAAGTGAGATAGAACTGAGAGTAATTCCTGGTTCCACCAGAGACGTAGAAGGGGCACTCCTGTTCCAAAGTAGGATTGGTCTTCCTACGTTTGCAACCCTGGCTGCCCCTTAGAGTTACCTCCACTCCTTAAAATACTGATGTATAGGTCCCGCCCACAGTAAATAATTGACCTGGAATGTGACCTGGGGCATCGGTTTCTTCAGGCTCCCTTTGTGATCCTAATAAGCAGCCCGGGTTGAGAAACACGACCCCCTTTCACTTTGACGTACTAAAGTCCAGGGACTGCTATTCCTTGAGCGTGCACCCCACGTTTCCCCTGCACGGGGTTCCAGTCCGTCCAGCGTGGAGAGGTGTGGCACTCCACTATAACCTACACTGTCTGCAGTTTCTCCGCAGCTGGTGAACCTTTCTTTCCCTGACTGCCCGGTTTAGCTGGCGCTTCAGCCCAGCCCACCTCCCTAGCACTTTGCCGCCTGCCCTTCTAACCTGGCCCTTCTCTGCTTGAGTTCCTTGGCAGCCTCCCAAGCTAAGCCAGCTCTGACACGGCCCGTGTGGCTTCCTCTTCTCCCAAGGAGGTCAGAACCTTTTGTGCTTCATCAGCCTCCTCCCTTTATCAGCTCTTCCCCCATTCCTCCTCCTGTACCTCAATCCCCTCCAGGCTTCTCACCCCCATATTTTGCTGCCGCTGGTGTAGGTGGGGCGGAAGACGTGGGCCCCAAGCGTTGAGATGAGAGCTGTCGCTAGGAAAGCAATGTGGGTGAAGAGAGATGGTGGGTGGGAGAAATAGGGCTCCCCGGTTTTATCCCTCCCTTTGTCATCAGAAATGCCTCAAGAGCTAATACCAGTTCTTTAAGAACTGGTATGAAAAATAATGAGGTCTGACCGTGACAGCGGGAGTGAGAAGCAGCCTCAGAAACAGCTGCAGTACCGATGCCTGGTATTTACAAGTCTCATAGACGGGGAACGCCGCGGAGAGAAGTTTAGAAGAGTGGATTCTCAAGGAGCCGCCAAACTGGGCCTCCACCAGGAATAGTTTCCAGAACGTTCTGGCCTGTGTTACACGTCTCAGAAACGGTCAACTGCAGGTCTCCTTAACAACTAAATGTAGTCAAGGCCTAGGGGCACTCTTTACATGAGAAGCCCGCGACACACCTTCCCCACCTCACGCTGATATTTCTGAGGTCTATCTGCCTTAATCTCGAGCGGCTCCCGTTCCTTGGGGTCTGCTATGTGCCAGGCCCATCAGAGGCGTCATCTCTCCACTTCTCACAACCTTCTTGCCATCACTGCCAATGGCATAATCATTTCTGTTTACAGGTGAAGACGCGCAGGCTCTGAGCCCCTGCCGAGAGTCTTGCCCAAAGTCACACCGGAAGTGGGAGAGCCGGGCTTTGCCCCACTCCAGAGCCTGTGCTCTTTCTACTACAGCTCGCTTCTTCCTCCTTCCTCCTTTGGTTTCCACCCCACCCCCATTCCTCTCTCCTCAGCGGCTTTGCAGTTTTTAAATCAACCTTGACCACAGTCATAGAACCTACTGGGGTTGAAGAAAGTTTCACAAGTTCTGGGAAATTTTCGTGTGTGCTATATGAAGGCAGCTCCTAAGCCGAGCACCAGCTCTTCCCCCGCCCCCGCCTCCCCAGGTGGCATTCATTCCATTCACTGTAAGCGAACAGCAGTCTAGTTTCCCCGCTATCGTTTCCCAGGGTACCTACAAACCAATACATTATCAAGGACCCAGACTGGGTCATCTTATAGCAAAATGGGAACAAAAGAAAGAAAATCAATAATGTAAAAAAAAAAAATACCAGGTCACAGGAGAATTTTTATTACCAGGTCAGGGAAAAAAAGCTCTGCAGGGGAGGTGCAGTGAGCCAAGTATTCACTAGGATGAAGTCATTCGAGGGGGTGGGGGTGGGGGACTGGCTACCTCTTGCTGTTCAGGTCACCACCCTTTGACAGTGGTGGCCTCTGACCTCAACAGCCCTATAATTCTGTTTTGACTGACCCCGAAACCCATGAAATTCAGATGTAGGCACTGACCAAAAGTTGAGATAAAGCTGACTAATATGGGAAAAGCTCCCGGTATGTGCCCCCAGCTGAAAGGAGCTGGCAGCTCTTTGGCTGTGGATGCAATTTATTCTGTGCTCCTCCTTTCAGGGAAATGCTAATCCCTCATAGGCAGCTCAAGGCGAAGACTGCAGTGTGTTGATGATGAATGGCAATAATCCTTTGTCCACTGCCACCTCCTCCTAGGGTTGAACCTTAAGAGTTTAATCAAATGTTGGTAAGTAAATTAATGCTTTAAGGAGTTAAAAAGGGAGTGGTGGGAAGAAGGGTTGTGAGAATATGTCTCTTCTGACATGCGCATCTCAAAAGCTTAATTGCAAAGACATTGATTTGGTGGGTGTGTGTTGCTTAGACTCTTTATTTACACACACACACACACACACACACACACACATATATGACAGTCACAATCCCAAAACTGTCTTATGTCAAAGCATGTCAGGGTTAAAGACAGAAACAACTTGAAGGTTTAAAGACCAAAGCAGTGTGGTGGAATTACCTTTCTGTTAAAAAAAAACGACACCAGCCACAACAAAACTCAAGCATTTGTACATCAATAGGAATAACATGACCTTTATCCCCAAATCTTCACATTACTGTGAGGGAGGTTGCATTTTTCAGCTCGGCTAACACTGGAGTGGCCACTCCATGCCCAGGGCTGCCATCTCTTTTACCCCTTACGACATCCTGCAAAAGAGGTATTACTACGCTCATGACAGCAGAAAAACAATCAGTGCTCAAAGGGGGCAAGTGACTTATCCCTGAACACCCAGAGACAGTTAAAATTTAAACTAGAGTCTTTGGCTTTCAAGTATTCCTGTTGAATACAAAAAAAAAAAATTGTTGCCAGAAGGGTTTGAAGGAATTTGACAAATGATCAGCTTCTGGGGCTCACACAGTGAGTCACGACTGAAAACCAGGTTTTCCAACTCCCAGTCCAGGTTCTTTCACCACATTACAGCATTGCCACCCAAAGCGCTGGGTTTTCCCAAGAGGTGTTTGGATGGGATTCCAAGCCAGAGAGATGCAAATAGGTCTGACCCACATTCCAGCTTTTGGATAAATAAAAACTCCTAAAGGGCAGAGCCCATTTTGTGTGCTTGGTTTGAGAATCCTGCTGTGGATAGTCAATCAATATTGAACAACTATAGGTACATGTGTGCCAAGGACTAACAGCATGGGCTCAATTTTAGCAATTAGAATAGTGAAAATGTTACTGAGGAACCTCAGAAAGGTGCTGAATGGCTGGATGGCGTAGTCATAAATTTTTAAGAGTTTTTTAAAAACTTTGAAGTCATTTACTCCAACTCTTAATTTTATAAGTGAGATCCTGAGAAATTCAAATAATGTGCTCAAGGATCTGACACCATTTGGCAATAGACCCTTCTCCTGTTTTCCAGTTGTATTTAACTTTATGTCATATGGTGTTGTGAGATAGTGTTTTCAGGAATGCAACATGTTGAAGTTAGACTGGCTGGTCATACAGTCATCACTGATTATGAAATGTCTCTCCATTTTAACTTTTCCATATTCACTGACCAACTGGACTCTAAGAAATCCCCATTGCTGGCTTTCAAGTTCAACTAAGTTGGTATCATTTCTCAATTAGCATCTTGTTAATTTTGGCCTCCTGAACTTTTCTCATGGCACTGTCCCCTATCTGCTAGCCCTCTAAGTTCTCGCCACTACTCTCTAGTTCATCTCCAAGAAGGTTTCTCTGATTACTCTTCTTCCCATCTATGTTTATCTTACTTTGATTTGCATAATACTTATGTTCAATTTGTTTCTTCCTATCAGTAGAAAAGATTTGCTTATCGCCTCAATGTTTTTTATATCACCAAGGACAGGATCAGTTGTTTCTACTTTTTTTTTTCTTATGGTGCCTAAGATAATGTTGTGCTCCAATGATCACCAAATATTTGTTAAAGGAACAAATCATGATAGTTAACTTTGGTACAAAACAGAGATGTCATTCTTAGTAGAAAATGAAATTAAAATAACTTTCATCTTGCTAGGTCATTCTGATTTCTCAAAGACTCACTAATGAATCACATGCCCATGACTTTGGTAGTCTATCAAAAAACTAGTTCAGTGGTTGATATACTATCAAAATATTGGTCCGGTGGTTCTTAACCCTGCTGTTCATTCAAACCGAATGAGAAGTTTTAAAAACCAACACCCAGGCCTCAGCACAGATGAACTGAATCAGAATCTTTGCAGGTGTGCCTAAGAAATGATTTGCATACATCATATTGATATTTGATTTACACATACGGATTTGTACAACCTCATTCTTAATGGATTTATCTAAAGAATGAGCATGTTCAAATATGGTTTTGTTGTTGATCTTAGAATCACAAAATTTTACAACTGAGAGAGAGCTAAGATAATATCTGGCTCAATCCCTTTATTTTATAGCTGAGGACACCAGGGATTCAGAGAGTAGCCTCACACAGTGGCATGGTGGTTGTTGAGTGACAGGTCGTGTCTTAAATTAGTGGAATTTTCTGCACTCCCATTCTGGAGCTGTAGAAACTAGACCGAGCTGTTTAGTTTTTAAATTTCTGCTTTCTTCTAAAGAAAGTGTGTAAAAAATATTGCATGTGGAAGGTTTGGATTTTCAAAGCTCTTGGCACTTGGTACTCCTTAAAGACCTTCAATGTGGCACGTTCCAAATAGCCCATTGTCATGGCAGAGGAAATGCCACAGCAGGATATATCAAAGTTAAAAAAAAAGTGACTAGTATCTATTTGCAGGCTTTTTCATTGGCCCTGACCTGTAAGTCCACAACATTTTATGCCATCAGAGCCCAGAGCACTTCTAGCCCTTAACTATACCACTTACTAGCTGACTTATTGCTTATGAGCAAGCTAATCAACACCCTGAACGTCCCTTTTCTCTATAAAAAGAAAGAATAGTGCCTGTCCTATTGACCTTGCATTTTTTAGCTATTATAAGGATTAAATGAGATGATCTATGTGGAGATAATTTGAGAATAGTAAAGCACTATATATATATATGTATAGGATTATTATATTACTATTTTTCAGAGCAATGGTTTGTGAATAAGTTTTTGTGACTTTGATTACCCAGTCTCTAAATCCTAATTCCTTAGTACTATGCCACCCAAGAATCAACAGGAACTGGAGTTAGTGCTGGACTAGAGACTCTAGTCACTGAAAGTATCACAGAACTAAATATTCAGGGAGGTAAAGTGATGCAGTGACCCAGGATTTAGCTAGTCTAGGCTCTAGTCCCAGAATCTGCTTTTAACTATTGACTTTGGACAAGTCACTTAATTTTTTTGGGACCAGAGTCTCGTCAGTGGTCAAAGGATGACTTGAATTAGAGTCAAAGATCCTTTTGATTTATAAAATCAGAATATTAGTGCTTAATTAAAATTACTAAAGTGCAATTTCCCAAGCCATTAATTCATGTGGTTTCACATTTTTTAAATCTCTTTTTAGAAGTACAGGGCTGGAGCCTAAAAACATAAGCTTGTTTCTGTTAAACAGACATTTCAAACACATGTATAAGACCCTTTTTGAAAGAAACATCTCTACTCAGATACTTTATGCTTGTTAGTATCCTGTCCAGGAGCCCTTGCTCCAAAAATAAGTGTATGGTTACTCAACAAGCACATAATATAGTTCTGGACATAGAGTAGACACCCAAATACCGTTGTTACAGCTCTTAGTCTGAGTCCCAGTTTGTATTACTTAACCCATCTGAGCCTGTTTTCTTTTTCTTTATTAGTTTCAGGTGTACAAAACAATGTACTAGTAATGCATTTCACCCCTCACAAAGTGATAATCCCCCTCCCCCCATCCATTGCCCCTCCGACATCATATATATCCACAATTCCATTAACTCTATTCCCTATATTATACTCCATATCCCGTAACTATATACATATTAAATTATAGTTGACATATAATATTATTCAGCTTCAGTTTCAGGTGAACAGTGCAATGGTCAGGCATCTACATCGTCCATGAAGCGGTCTCCCTAATAAGACATGTGTCCATCAGACACCCTACACAATCTTCACAACATTATTGATTATATTCCCCAAACTGTCTTTCAAATCCCTGTGGCAATACTGTAGTAACAAATATATGCTGTCTAATCCCTTCCCCTTCTCCCTCATCCCTACCCCCCTCCCATCTAGCAACCCTCAGTTTTTCCTCTATATCTCTGGAACTATGAGCCTGGTTTTTTATTTGTAAGTGGGACAATACCTTCCTCAAGGATCCATTGAAATAGTGTATATTAAAATGTTTTTGTAAACTATTAAAAATAATTCTAAGATATTGCTGTTACCTAAGGAATGTAGTTTACTATACCATGACCTTCCTAAAAAGTGCTTTTTCATGAGATAGATTAAAATCTTTCTTAATTATGGACACAGAGCCTATCCCAATACCTGGGATACCCAATATCCCAACAAATATGCTCGATAAATGTTTGCTGCATGAAAAGTACAATCCACAGGAAGACAAAAAACTCCGTGAACTCAGATTGCACATTTGTTTTTATCTCTAAATTCCCAGAGCCTAGCACAAACCTGACACATAGAAGAAACTCAATAATTCTTAGATGAATACAATTTTGTCCCCTCTAGTTCCTCTTCAGCACAGCTCAAGGGGCAGAAACAGGCAAGGGAGGCATCAAAGATGATTTCCGGACAAGGTTCTTGGAATGGAAAATTGGAAATTACTTAGAGAATTCATCCACTCTAACAAATTGTTTGGGAGAGCAAAAAGAACATAGGCTCCGAGTTCAAATTCAGTTTCTAAATTCTGCAATCTTGGTTAAGAAAAAAAAAATCTCTCCAAGTCTCAGTTTCCTCATCTTAAAATGAGAATAAGTACCTCCCTCATAGGGTTAAGCCCTAGAATGGAAGCTCCATTAGGGTAGGGACTTCATTTTGGGCCAACCGTCTCTCCGCTGAACAGCACTGGACTCTATCAAACAGTGCCTAGCACAGCACAGGTTCTCAAATATTTGTGGCCTGAGTTTGTGAGAAATTGACTGAGGTAATACAGCTACAGTAACAGAACGCCTGCACGTAGTAAACACTTAGCGAATGTGAACCTCTTACCATCGTCATTACTATTACCAGTATATCACCATTACTACATTACTGGTGGTTGTAGGGCAGGTACCTTAAGGGAAAGACCCGGATTCAAATCTCAAATTCTCCATTTACTGGCTATGTGACTTAGAACAAATCGCTTAACCCATTAGGGCTCCTTTGGTTCCACAAAAATCTCAGCGTCGTGAGAATTACAGGCTGTATGGAAGCCACCTAACACTGAGCCTGGAGCTCAGGCGGCATGCGATACATGACAGCGATTACTATGTAGGCAAAAAATCGCCAAGTCCCTTTTTGTCTAGATAGCATTCCTGCAATTTCCCACATTACTGTAGCTGAATACATAACATGACCGCAAACAAGGGGAGGAAGGAAAGGATTTCAGAGAGACCGAAAACGCTAAACAAGAAAAGGGAATGAAACCGGTGCTTGACAGTTCCCACCAAAGGATGCCAGCTTCCGCGACTGTCAACCAGTCCGACGAGCCAAGTCTCCAGCGGGACAGTCACCTCCGAAAGGAACAAAAAGGAGGCAGAGCCGTCGCTTAGACCCTCCCCCTAACGGTCTCTTGGCTGCTGGCCTCAGGGGCCGCCGGACTCCCGTTTCCGGCCCTTGCAGGACCACAGTTCCCAGCATGCCTTTGAAGGGAAGTCTTTCCCGCTGGATGACTACTAATCCCGGCATGCCATTCGGCACTCCTGTAAATAAGATGGAATAGTGGAATGACCCCATTGCACGCAGGGAATTGTAGTCCATTTAGCTGCTGTCTCTCAATGGGGCGGGGAAGAGCCGGGTCGTTCTCGTCAGCTGAGAAGAATGATTCATCGAGGAGAGTTAGGAGAGAACAGTTCTGTCTGTGAAAGCCCGCTTAAAAGGCTGGACTCTTCTCCATGAGAGGGAGAGGCTAGAGAGCAAGCAGGACCTTGAGTCTGACCCCTCCTCAGGCTGCTCGGCAGGCCTCTATCGAGTCCTGGGCCTTGTCGGGGGCGGCCGCGAGGCGCCGGTTGCTGGGGGACCGGTGACGTCGCGGGGTGAAAGTTGAGGGGCGGTGACGTCGGGCCTGCCCGGGCGGAGGCTGGCGGGTTGGAGGCAGAGGGAGGGAGGGAAGGAGGGAAGGAAGGAAGCTGGGAAGGAGCGAGCGAGCGGGGGCGCGAGGCGTTTACCTGGAGGCAGCGGCTTGGGCGCGCAGAGCGGCCGCGGCTCCCCCGCACCTGCGGCCATGGATGAGGAGCGCGCCCTCTACATCGTCCGGGCCGGCGAGGCGGGGGCTATCGAACGGGTCCTGAGGGATTACAGCGATAAGGTAAAGAGCCCTGGCCCCGGGCTTGCGGTATAGCACCCCCGGGCCGCCCTCCGGGCTTGCACAGCGCATCCCTCCCCACCCCCCTCATTCCTGGGATGCGCATTGCTCTCCCCTCGAGAACGTTTCCGGCTTGGCCATACGTGTTTGTGCCCCCAGCCTTTGCCATCCGTGCATCCTGCATCCCCCTGCCCCCACTCTGGCGCCCACTCCTCTGATTCCGGCCCAGCAGCCTGTCCTACGGTCCTCCTCCCAGGCGCGCAAGTCACACCCCCGGAATCCGTAGGTGTGCGTCTGTGCCCTGTGCCCCACTCTTGGATGCATAAATGCACGCGAGGCTTCCTCACCTGTATATCACAAAAATACTTGCTTCTGTGCATAAACACGGCCCATGACATGCACAAAACGTATCAGCCACGATGGCAGTTCTTTATGTACCTATAGTACTGTACAGTTTGCAAGGCGTGATGTCTCATACAGGGTCTAACTTGATTCTCAGAGTGTGTATAGGGCAGATGGTAGCAACCTTCCCATTTGATAGATGAAAAAGCCGAGGCGTAAAGAACTGAAATCATGCCAAGGTCATGGACATACTATGTTGTAAGTGGGAGAATCTTAACTCCTAGTAGTACCTATAATTTGTAACGCATCAACTGCTTTTCCACCCGTTATCTCATTTAATCTTGACAGCCGTCCTATGAGGTTTTATCTGCATTTTGCAATTGAGATTCCTGATTGGTTAAGTAACTTGCCCAAGGTCATGCTTGTGAGCTGGAATTCCAGCCTAGGTCTTCAAACCATTCATTGTTCTTTCCACCTTACAACTCTGCAGTGAAAAGGTAATCTTGTTATAGATCCCAGCCACCTCTCTGAATCTCTCCTAGAACCGTTAGCTCTCCATTACTTTTCCTTCCAGGAATTTTACACGCTCACTTCAAAGGGTAGCATACCACACCTTTATTCTTCCATTTAGAAGACTACTTTATAGAAATGACTGACTACTCCTTCTGTGAAAACACACCCAGAGCCAGGGCTCACCCTGGATATAACATCTGTCTTTCTGTCATTTGCTTCCATTCATAATTTCCCCTTTTGTGTTTGCTCTGTGCCCACCACTGCACTTTCATACACTCTCTATTATTGAGCTGCCAGGATGCCATTTCTGCCCTGGGTGGAGAAGGGCCAAAAAGAAGACACCTTCAGTCCCATTTAATCTTCTGAGGAACCCTGTGAGGAAAGTGATGGTATTCCCTATTTCATAAATGGTAAAATTTAGGATAATGTTGTCCCAAGTCCACACAGCCATTGAGAGATGGAGCTGAGATCTGAATCTGGCTGTCTGATTGCTCTTTTTACAGGACTATGCTGCTTCCTTCGGGAGGGTGCATGGATTCAATCCTTTTCATATCTTAGCTCCTTCACTTTCCGATCTGCTTTACTGTTACCTATCTGCCTAATTTAGGAGACATTTATTTAATGCATAGGTGTACATATTGTGGAGATTATATTCATTTTACTTGATTTATAATTGCTTTAAAAAAAAGATTTGAGGCAGCTACAAACTGATTTTCAAAGTAAAGAAATGCCATTATGTTGAATTAACTAGTGTTTATTTAGCACTTACTATACACCAGCTATCCAGCAATAAAGAGGAACTTTTTTCCATAGGGAAGGGAGGAGGAAAAACCTCCAGCTGGATCGTATCACCTCCTTCAATATTTCTCCTTCCCTTCATAGCTAAACTAATTAGCACTCCAGATTTGCTTCCTCCAGTTTATCTCTTCCTGTCCTTGATCTCTCTCTAGGTTGGTTTCCACTTACCACTCCTGACCAAGTGCTGCCAGCTTAAGTTCAAGCCATCTCCAGCTCCCTTGTCACATTGGGAATGTTTTTAAAGTTGCAGTGCCCAGTGTGTGTTGTTTAAGGGTATTCCTGATGTGTTCAGGAATCCAGTCCTCCCAAACACTTGAACTTTTTGGGCCAAGCCCGAGAATGCTCTGACTTGATCAGAACCAAGTCAGTGAGCTCCTTCAGGAAGGAGCTGTCATGTTTAGTGCTGATTAAGGTAGGGCCAGAGGATAGAGAAAACAGCTGAGTTTCATGTTGGCCGTGGGGCTTTGCCCCTCAAGGTGAGAGACAGTGGATGAATTAAATAGGAGGGGGAAGTATGGTTGCAGTGGTCTGGCAATAAGAAAGGGAAGGTGGAATTAAATTGCTCAGTTCTGTAGGATATAGAGTCAGAAAACCTGGAAAGGTAGCTGGATACCGTATGCTTCATTTTCCTTATCTGGAAAAATCGATTTCAGAAATGTTGAGACTAGAGTCTTGGTTTAGAGTCTAACCAAGAAGAGAAATGAATGATGTAGAGAGAGAAGGATTGGTTCATTGTTTGGGGAGGATATGTTTTTTTTTCTTAAAAAATTTTATTGGGGAATTGGGGGAGGGGAACAGCGTTGGGGAATCAGGGAAGGGAAACAGACAACTTGCTATCCTTTTGCTCTTCAGTCTAGTTGTGGAGGACGTCGCTTCACTGGCCCATGTTGGTATTATCATTGCGCTCTTCCCGGGTGAGAAAGATCTGTGGTTCACCATCTTAGCTGTAGAGGGCAGTGTCACTGGCCCTCATGTGGGATCCGAACCGGGGCCCTGCTGCTCAGAGCTGGTGTCCCAAACCAACTCTTAACCAGCACACCATTCAGCTGGCCCGGGGGAGGATATTCTTTATGCTGCATTATTTCTCTAATGAAGCCAGTCCTCAAAAGGAAGCACTCAAGTATAGTGGAAAGAAGGTGTAATTTGGAGTCAGATAAACCTTGGTTCAGATCTTCTATTTATTATTAGTTTCCTGACTATGGCCATTATTATTTTAAGCCTGAATCTCAGTTTCCTTATCTGTGAATAGGAATAATATCACCTAAGGTATTCTGAGGCTTAAATTAACTGAAGCATAATTCCAAACACTGAATGCACCTCGAGGCATTCACTCAGTGAGTTACAGTTCTAATGATCAAGGTACTCAAGAAGTGCTGTGGCCAGAGCGCAGGCTCTGAAGCCAGATTGCCCAGACTCTGATCCTCAGTTTACCATCTGTGTGGCCTGGGACAAGTTACTTAACTTTGTTGGGCCTCAGCTTCCTCATCTGCCAAACAGACATAATACTAGTACCTACATCATAGGTTTATTGTCATGATTAAATGAGTTATATGTGTAAAGCACTTAGAATAGTGTCTAACCCTGATGAAGAACCCGTAACTGTTAGTTTTGAACAAAAAAGCAGGAATTAAACATGGTCCACTGAGTTGACGTGGCCCAATAAAAAAAAAAAAGAAATGGGTAAATATACTCCATTCTTTCTCTTTTTCCTTGACCCTCATACTTTCTGATGGGTAGCAAAATACCTTGTACCGCGTTTAGAGCAACAGTTACCTGTCTGGCTCCAGGTAACAACATCTAATTTCTTCTGTGTTACAGACTCTAATTTCCAAGCCTTCTTGCTTCACTCACTTACCCTTATTATCATGGAGACAGGGAAGATCTATTTATCCCAGAAAAAATGAAACTTGTCTGTTTCTCAAGGGCATAATGCAGGTTGACTCAGCATAGGGAAGTATTAAAAAAAAAATAGGAAGAGTGGTGGTTCTATTTCACTCTTCTCAATTCACTGTTAGCATTTATTGAGTACCTGCTATGTACTATGTATTAACCTTAAGCGCTTTCACATGTCATCACATATAACCTCTTATGAAAACTTATGAAAGTTGAAAGCACTCTCTTTTGGAGGGAATAGGAAATTAAGGTTCTGGAAAACAAAGTGACCATTACGGGCTCAAGGGCACATAGCTAGAAGTGGCAGACTTAGTCTTCAGATTCCATATCCAGGGCTCTGTTTACAAGGCCATGTTGTGTTTTCAAGTACAGAGGAGAAAGGTTTCTCAGGGCCAGTATACTACTTCCTTTGGCTACTGTTGGACCCTAACCACTTCCACTCCAGTTATAGAATGAGCTGTTAATTATGGGAAGTGTGTATTGTTCAGGTCTAGACTACTCAAGCTCCTTCTCCTCCTTTAGGGCCTGTTCTGATAACGGATTTAGTAGAGAGATTGGTTGCCATCATTGTGATTGTCAGCAACAACCAGTGATCAAGGACTCCGAGATGCACAGTAGTATCAAAGTTTCTTGATTTACAGGATATTTAGACTAGAAGGAACCTCAAAGATAATTGAGTCCGATCCCCTCAGTTAATAGGGGAAGAAACTGAGCCCTAGAGTCATCAACTATGGCGATACTCAGAGAGATGGTCTGGTGGCCACAGACACCACCTGAACACACGTTACCCCATAGCAAGCTCCAACAGGATTCCATATGGG